CTAAAATCTGGAGGTCTTAATTATATCTTAACATTCCTGGTGATGCTATTCCATCTTAGTCAAAGTTATTTCTTCTCTCTGGTTATTAGCACCTCATCTATAAAATGAAATGAATACAAAAATATATTAAGAGAAAGAATCACCATACTGATGCAAATTATTATTGAATTGAAGAGTATTCCTGAAGAACTTGAACTCTTGGGGTTCAATCATTACTACAAATGGCAATGGTTGAAGACCCCTCTTTCCATACTGGGCATCGTATACTTAAGTGCAAATCTAATTTTCAATACAGAACTATGAGAGAAGACAACAGAAATAGGACTATGTCCACATCTGGATGATCACTCTGGTATCATAACTATACCCAGATTAGTTGCCCACTCTTCCAGGGAGCTGGCACCTTCTTAGAATGCCAGTGTTGCTTAAAATAGTGCATTGGATTTTAGTCATCATCCTGTTGGCCTTGTTGACTTAAGGATTCTTCCACTTTAGTGGAAGTATTTAAAAAGAGGGTTGGTATCTCTACTTCTACAAATATAGGTGGATCTCAAACCAGGAGACAGCTGGCATTTTCCGGACAGGAATGTGCTGCTGTGATCTGACAAGGGTTTAACAATCTTCTACTCTTTGATCATGGAGCATAAGCTGAAAAGGGGGACTCTCCATAATCTTAGACAATTTATGCAGCTGCAGAATCACCAAAGGAACATTTCCATGGGGAAAAGGTGAATTTTAAGAGCAAACACACTGAAGAATTCTGAGCTCACCTTACGATAAAAGCTGCAAAGCAGCCAGATCCACATAGAATCTGTGGCCAAATACTGCAGTAATATCTAATCCAGGTTACTGATCTACTTCACAGAGGAGGAGTTGGAACAGGACACCCAACTCCACCTATCAGTTTCTCTTGGGTGCTCATGAAATTTCACCTAGTAAAGAGACAAAGATTCCATTAGGGACAGGTATTCTTTTCACAAGCCCCCGGGTTCAATGTGTGGCTGCTCTAAAGGATGCAGTCTCACGAATGTCTGGAGTTTGACCTTTAGGGACAAGCGAGGCAGTCAGTTGATCAACACGAGATACCGAGTGCCCAGTTTTGTGCACAGCTCCACCCTGAGAGTGACAAGAAAATCATAGAGTATATCAAGGCAAAGGGAAAGTAATTCTTCAGCCAGATATGTGATCAATCAACAAACGTTTCTTAAACATCTATGGTGTTCAAGACACCATATCTCTACCAAAAGACATAAGAATCAGGGGCCCTTCCAGTCAGGGGATGATGACTGAGTTGAAAGGCTAAGACATATTTGTATGAACAGATAACCAATAGTTCAAGGTGGTCTATGATCAGTGTCGAGTGATTCATATGAATATAATGACCAAGGGGTTTCAGGGGTACAAGTGAACAATTCTAACTGGGGTGATCCAGAAGGCTTCCTGGAGAAGGCAGGATTTGTACCAGGTACTGTCAGTTGGACAGGATTTTGACAGGTGGAAGAAGAGGGTGAGCAGGCTAGGCAAAGGAAATGGTGTGAGCAAGGTCCCGAAGTAGGCAGGCCTAGTGCCTGTTTGGAGAAAGGCAGCAGACTACATTGGCTGAAATAGAAGACTTGTTTTGAGGAGTAGCAGAAAAGAAATCTGAAAAGAAGGAACCATGGGATCTCAGAGTTTGAAGGGATCCTAGAGATGATCAAATCCAAGCTCTGCTCACCTTATTCTCACACAAACACATTTTTCCCTAGTGTGCCACCAATGTTTAATATGCACTTTAGTAATGGGTCCAGATTCCTAATATCTACAGATATAGTAATTCTGGGATAGTAGTTAGAGAAAGGCTTTGGAGTTGGAGGCCTGTTTAAACCACTTGCTAAATGTTCACTCTTGGGCAAGTTCATTTATCCTTTATTTCTTCACCTATACATGTGGATAATAGTAGATTCAAGGTGGAGGTAGGAAGAAAAGGAGAAAGAATGCTTGAAGGAGACAGAAGAGGAAGAGGACTCTGTAAACTGTATTGCCAAGGAAAGCAGAAGTAGAAAGAATTCAAGCAAGAGGAGGCTGTTAACAGCATCAAATGAAGCAAACAGATCAAGGTAGCTGAGACCCGTCAAAAGGCTACTGACTGTGACAATTTGGAGGTCACTGGTGACCGTTAAGAGATCAATTCAAGTATAAGAGGAGAGAGGCAGTTTGTAGAAAAAGGTGAGGTGGGAGGGGTGGGAAAGGAAGAAGAATAGAATGTGTAGTGAGGAACTAGAGCTGCAGGCACAGACCCTGCCTTCATCTGTAGTGACAGGAGAGGGAAAGAGATGGTTTTGATTGAAAGGGGTCACAGGATTGAGTGATGTAATGGATGGATGTGTATCTCAGCTTAGAACTGAAATGGCTGGTAGCTCCTGTAAGGACCTCCAACTGTAGCTTTCCTCCTTGCCAAGATGCAGGGAATGGTGATAAAGGAAGAAGGAAGTTCCTACTCAAAAAATATCTTCTCTCTTCCTTTCGTCTAGCACTGTATAGGAAGAAAATATCATTATAAAGCAACCTGCCCATTTATAATACCATAAGATTGCCAGCTGAACAATTATGAGACTCCCTGTATAGTAAAAACCTTATTAATTTGGACTACAGTAATTTGGAATTTGTGGTAATTTAGCCTGGGCTGGAGTTACTTTCATACTACTTTTAAAGAAAGGGTTCACTAAGCAAATAGTATGAAAAAGATTACAAGGGAGCTAATTTAGCCTGCTAGGGGCCTAGCTCACCAATTTTTAAGAACATACTGTTTTTTAAGAACTTAGGCATATTCATTATTTGAATGCAAATTGATTCTAATAATTATAGGTTAACATAACCTACTGCTAGAGTCCTATATCTGCAACAGTTACTTTGCTCTTGCTGAATATACTCATTAGAAATAAAACTGCAATTCTTTAAAGGTGGTTCACAATTCAGATTAATGCATACTCCTTTTTCCCACCCTCATGAGTTAACTGAAGTTCAGGAGGTATTACTATAGACCAGCACATCACTTACTACGAACACAGCAGAAAAACTAATAAGTAATCAAAAAAGGCATCAGAGCAGCCAAAATAGATGTCTTAAAGTTGATGCCCTAAATCCTGCATCTCTCTCCATAGCAGGTTCTCTTACAGCTTGATTTAAGTCTCACTTAACATACTAATTTGACACATCAACTTGGAGAGCTGGCTATTTTTGTTTGTTTGTTTGAAGTTCATAACTGATTAGAAGGAGAAAAAGGGCTGTTACATGAAGGGACAACTGAGAGAAACTAGAAATGACTACATACTGCAGAAAGGAAACAGGACATGTACAAAATGTGGCTCTAATAACTAAATAGCCACCACAGTCTAGGACAGTTTAGAGTTAAAAGGCCTATATTCCTTAGTAAACCCAGAAAAGTATAATAGAGTACTATAGCACAGTACAATGACTAATGACTGGAATTATGCCTTTAAATGATCAAGCAAAGTTTAGATTTGTTGAATATATGCCTCAAAAAGACAAATAAGTTTATACACATGCACATGCACACACACAAGCATGATTTGTATCCATAAAACCATTATGTTTTTTAGGTTAACCAAACCTAAAAATGCAAAATGCATTGATGCTTAAAATGATGGAGTTCATAATATTATATAATGACAACGATAGCAAAATAATAGCAACATTTATTAAGTGATTTATTAAGTGATGAAGTATGTGTAGGTTATCATGCTAAGCACTTTACCTATATAATTTCATTTAACTCTACTAACAATCCTAAGAGGTTTTAGTATCATTTCTAACTTTACAGTTGAAGAAAGTGAAAGTGAGAGAGGTTAAGGAACCTGCCAACCCAGGCCACAGACAGAGAGCTGGGATTACAACTCAGGCAAGTTACTTGGCTGTATACTATACCTTTCCAATGCCCCAGAAAATACAGCTCTCTAAAAATCACAGTTTTCTTCAGGGCTCCAGATAGCTAATGCTTTACTGTAATTTTCTTCTCCAAACTTGTATTTAACATATATCTTCATTTATAAGCAGGAAGACCTATGATCTGAGTCAGGTTATAATACTGCATGTTTGCAAACATGTTCCGTGTTATAAGCTGAATGGGAAATGGTAAAAAACAGAAGAAAACAAGACCAAAAACACCATGAACATATCTATTAGTCTCATCCTAAAATCTCAGATCAGTCTCAATACACTATGGACACTATTCTCAAATAAATAGCCAAGTAACAAAGAGATGAAATTTTAAAATATTAAATGACCAGTTAAGATCTGCTTCTCTCATTGTTTCCCTACTTATTTAGAGAAATTTAATACAGGCCAATGGAGCAAGAATGATGGGGGGAATTGCAGGGGATGCCAAAAATTCAGTTGACTGTTATACAGGATTTAGGAAAATCTGTTACTCAGCTGTTCTAAGAGAGCTATGAGGGCATAGAACACATGCAAACATAGTGTGCACTAAGAGAAACGGTGATGGGGTGGGGAGAGGCAAATATATGCAGTTATCCACATTAGAAGTAAAAGTAAGTGTACCCACCACTTGTACATACAAAGAAAAATGTATAGTGACATAATTCATTCATGTAATTCCTTCTGCCTAAATCAATGTTCTTTACTCATCTCTTCTTGTCTTAAGCCTACCGATTCAAGGGCCAGCTACAAACACCACTTCTGCTATAAAGTGTTCCACAATGCCCAAGGCTGAATTAAACTCTTCCCTTGTTTGTGCTCCCATTGTTTTTGTTTTTCCTTTTACACACTTACTACAGCACTGATGATACTCTATCTTATTAGAGTTATTCAAGTGTTTGCTCTTTCCACCCTCTATCCCACCATGAGTTCACTGACAGTAGTGGACTCTTTCTCATTTCTGTAGTTCCTACAAATCCTAGCACAGTACCCACTACATAGTAGAGTCTCGGACAATGTTGACTCAATGGCACTGGCCTAAGAGAATGGGTTATCGCCTAGCTTACCTGAAGGAGCATTTGTTCTCTTTCTTTTCTTGCTTGACTCCCCTCCATTCTCAATGAGGCCTTCTGTGACCAGAGGGCCACTGGCACTACCAAACTGCAGGGGCTCGTTGTTGTTGGCAGGGTCAAAGGGCAGCTGGTTCAACCCTAAAGAAGAAAAAGAAAGCCAAAATCCAGACTCCATTAAGGACTGGGATTTCTCCAGATTTCATTATGAGCCACTAGAGGAAAACTCTGTATCTTAAGAGCCTAGGAGTAACAGGTTAATTTCTTAAAGCCATTTGCCCTCTGCAGTTTTTACAGATCTTTTTGACAAGTACAGAATTAAAATGTGGGCTCTTAATAAACTGTGGCTCTGTCATTTGTAAGATCCCTCCAGTTTCTGGGAAATTAACATTTTTGGCCATAAGCTGTCAATTATCTTCTACCTCCTCCCTTATAGAATTAGGACCCTCTTTAAATGTGACCATAGTTGGACCCACTCTTCCTTTGAAAAAGTTTGACCACGTATTTCTTAGATTATCTCTTGACATTTTTTCCCATTCTTTCATCGCAAGGGTTGTTGAATTGATGCAGATGTAATCATTAGACTGTCCTGGTGTCAAAGTCACTTCCAAAGATAATATAGAGGTTTCCAAAAGAGAAAACCATAACTTCATAGCAAACTAGAGAAGGAAACAAAGATATTGAACGCACAAGGGGGTTATTTAGTAGTTGGAGTAATGGGGAATTATGACCTAAGTTTGAGTTGTGATCTCAGAGTATGGTCACTTTATTACTAGTCTCTACTAGTCGCTGCCACACCATGTAAAAATGGCAAAAGGCATTTTTCTATTCCCAAGTCTTACATGTTTCAGCCTGGGGTGAGCAGAGATACTTTCTTACTCCCCTGGCAGCAGTGCCTGGAATTTCAAGTGTTTCCATGAAAACTTCATGAAATGTGGAATCAAAAGCTTTGTTAAAGACCAAAGTTAGGTGATCTCTCCTAAGCTTTTTATCCACTAGTCCTCTAATCCTATCAAAAGAGTAATCAGGTTGGTCAGCTATGGCTCACTCTTCAATTCTCAATTTTTCTATGGCCCACAGCTGTACAATTCTTGAGGTAATATTGTAAAATGTCAGTAAAAGCTTGGAATCCAGTCAGCTACAGGTCAATCAAGTTTCAGTAAAAAGAATGCTAAGGTTCTAATAATATGGCTTTACACTATTGTTTTTAATAAAAAGTATTCCTATGCTAATGTTTTCAGCCTACGTAAAAAGTATCATTTCTTCAGCAATCAGATTCCACTTGGAACACCTCCATTAAATGTTTTCTGGGACTTAAAACATTTTTCCTTTACATCATCTGAGTAACTAAGTGAAAGAATGAAAAGTTGCTTCTTTATCTCAAGTCAACCATTTACTGCATCATATCCATGTCCTATTAAATCCCTACCATGACTAGAATTAAAGAAACAAATAACAATTGCTACACTCAAGAAACATTCAGATCATGACCCATAGTATTTTCAAAGACTAGATTTTATATAATTTACAAATGAAGAATTTTATTGCACTTGAGCAGTCCCAGAATCAAATGTGATTAGTGTACTATTTCAAAAACTTTTCTTGGTATTTCTTTCTGCAGTATCATACTGACCAAAATAAGTTCCATGTAAGATAGAATAGTACAGTGGAAATAGTATGTGCTTGGGAGCCTGACAGATTGGGGTTCAAAACCTGGCTCTGTCCTTTACTATCTGGGTAGCTTATGGCAATTCATGTAATCTCTCTTAGTCTTACTTTCATACTGTGTAAAAGGGAAATGATAACATTGCACAGGGTTGTTGCTAAGATAAGAATATATATATAATTAAAACAAACTTTTCTCCTGTAGGTTTGAAGTTTGTAAGCAGCTCTTCCAAGAAGGATATTCTCCACTGCACTCCCTCCCCCCTCCACAACTGTATTCCTGCTGCCTAGCAACGTGCCTGGCACATAGTGAGTGTTGAAGGAATGAATGAATACTCCATAGGGTGGGGGTAGGTGACTCATTCTATTAACTCATGTAGTTAGAATAAAGACTGACAGCTGATAATCAAGAATTAATGACACAAACGTTCTGGTGCTGATTATATCAACATTACTTAAAATAATTAGATTTCAAATCCATTTCCATTATTTGAATACTATATTGCAGGGTGGTAAAATCTTGATCAAAAGGAATGCTCAGGGATTAGGAAGTTCTGATTAATAATGGTTAATCAGAAAATTTTTTCTCTTACATTTGATAATGTAACAGAGTAATATATTAGTCCATTTTCCTGCCTTATTAAGTAGATGACTGAGGATCTTACAGAGCTTCAGTGCTATAATCTGTAAAAGGAAGCTAAGGCAGTACCTAACCCATGGGACTATTAAAAGGGTTAAGTAAGATCATGTATGTAGAACATTCTGCATGTCATCTGGCATATACCAGATGCTCAATATATATTAACTGGTAATTTCTATTTTTCATTTCTAGAATTTTTGGTGCACAATGTGAGATTGGTCTAAATTTGCCCTTATCCAAGGATATACCCTACTTTCCTCATTGAATCTTTTAATTGCTGTTTGTACTGTTTTCTAAAAGTTGAAGGAGTCCAGGGGGAAAAAAATCTGATGAATTAAAGGTATTAAGTCATAGATATTTGATTATAATCGTCTTGCCATTTACTTAGTCCCAGATGGTAACTTTAGGGATTTAGGTATTTTGTTCCTTATACCGATGTACCACAGATTTTTGTCTGGAACTGAATATGCTTGATTTCAAGCAATTTCTGTGTATCTATCTCGTATGTGATCCGATATATGAAAATTCTGATAATTCAGCATACCATCTCAGGCCTTGTTTCTTATAGAAAAAGACATCGTATCAAGGAGAGAGTGACATCCCATTCAGTAAGCTGATTCACTGGATACAAATCTGCATTTTATATTATCCAGGACCCAATGCAGTCTCCAAAGATTTGTAGTTTAAGAATAAGCTATATAGAGAGCAAAATCCTACAACACTAGAGCTTCCTAGCTACTTTAATTGTATTGTTTCATTCCTCCACTGTGACAGCACTAAATAAACCAATAAATCGGTAAATCAGTAGGTACTTGTAGGATCTTTTCTGTGTCAATATATATATAATCCATGCCGAGAATGCTATTTTAAGTAAAATAGTAAAATAGCCTCATTAAAACCATCTAAACTCTGAAAGGACAACCAGCACTTCAATTTCAAGAATGCTTATTGCAGAAGTCTCAATTATGACTTGAATGGAAAATATTAGCAATTATGATATTTTAATTATCATCCAAACTACAGAATTTATCTTGAAATCTCTTATGGAAGCTATTTCTACCATTTTTCTACTAGTCATGATGGAACTATTAAATTAGGAAGATATTAGGAAAATACTAGATTAGCAAGAAACTTTTGAGGCTATCAGTTCATTAGTCCATGCAAAGCAAGAATCTTATCTATAGAATTCCTGAAAGGCCTAAATCGGGGGTAGTTTTTAGCCTTGGGACCATTCCTTGCTATGCTTTTAGGGATTCAGCTTGCTTCCTCTACCTTTTTAAAAACTACCACCTACCCCCTTTTGAGGGTTCCTTTCATCTCACCAAAACTGCCGGTGAAGTAGGATGCATTTTGTTCAGTTGTTAACTTGCTTATTGTCCCTAAAATAAACACATGGAATGTCTAACTTTTTAAAGGCTCTACTGATAATCACTGCAAGAAAAAACAATGAGGTGTCACCAATAATTAACAGAACAAAGAAATGTTCTAAAGTCTTATATAGTTTTCATTGTCCTTGCCCTTTTATTCCTGAGGATAAATTTAATCAAACTTTGAATCTTATTCATTTCCCCTCACATCTTGTCTCCTCATTCACCTACCCCCACAAAATATACAGTTTGTCTAAAGGGGAGTACGAATTGATATAGGAAAATAGAAAATAAACATTAGTGTTACAGATTTCTGCTATTTCTGTATCTTACGTTCACAATTAAACAAGTCCGTGTGGTAATGCAATCTTGTTTAAAACCAGGCTAACTGGTTTAGATAGCTGACCAGCTGTTATTTCATGTCATGTCAAAATACAGATTATCTGACTTCATAACACACATGAGGCCACTTTAGAAAGCATGCATATTGGGGAAGGGTGGGGGTGGGGTCCTTGGAGAATGACATTTATTATCCAGTGGAACCAAGGGATTAAACTTCTCAGAATGAAGTGTGGTTCCCAGTGAATCCTCCAAACTGCAGGTCAAGGAGTTCACATGCAATGATGTCTGCCATACAGATGCAAATGATTCCTGGGCTTTGAGGGAAGCACTGAAGAATTTTCATGATTCTTATGAAAGAAGATCAATGATCTCTTTGTGCCCAGCTGCTGTAATAGTTACTGTCACAATTCACGTTACAGAGCTTTCTACTATCAGGTCAAATTAGGAGTAACCTTCATGATGCAATCTAACACTTTTAATGATGGCCCCAGGTTACAGCACCAAAATGTGACCCTGTGGGTCCCTGCAGCTTCTTACTTGCAGCTGCGGCCCACAGATTTAATTTAAGGCGGTACAACCTTAGCAAAAAAGAAACACAATCTACTCTGGATTAGTTCCATTAGTTTAAAAGAAAATGTTAGGTCTTGAGAAATCTGCTAAATTTAATTTAAGGCAGCAATCTCCAGACATTTATGTTAAAAAAAATCAGAATATTAGTTTTTGGCAAAAGTAACATTATAGCTAATTTGTGTATAAAACAAATTTCTGTAACCTGAGTCCTATTTTCCAATTGACTTCAGTTTAAAATTAGATATGGGACTCCATGGTAAATGGAGGGAGTGGGTCTCCAAATTAGTTTTTAACTCAAAACTCTTGAAGTAAGGGGTTAGGATAATAGCCAGGCCCTTGATGTGCTGGCAGGTGCTTTTGTAGGATTTATCCATCCCTGGGAGCCCCTCCTCCTTCCTCAGTCTAGGCCTCAAAACCTCTGACTCCACATTTTCAGCTCTCACTACCCTGTAATTCCACCTTCTACTTCTGAGGGAATATTTACAATGTCTAAAAAGAGTTGGAATGCAATATCACTCTCCAGCCACAGGGGTTAGCAGCCAAAACAAATGAACATT